ATCTCCCTGACAGGCCTCGAACCTAGGTCACTCCGGGTATGAGACCCGAGTGCCAGTAATAAACCAACCATGCCACGCGATCCACTAAAAGGGGTGTGCAACTAGGATCTAACTAGCTCAATACACATTACCTATCTACTCATACATGAGTAATGATAGCGAGGTTTTATACACACTCCCCGTGGGAACTTGGTGGATATTGATTTAGAAATTCGAAACTGATGTCAGATATACATATATATATATATATATATATATATATATATATATATATATATATATATATATATATATATATATATATATATATATATATATATATATATGAAAGATGGAATAATGCATTACCTTATTGATATAGATATTGTAAAAGATATATAAAGGGACCTGTGAACATTGGTTTTGCTGGGGTAGACATAGCGGATAAAACAGCTTGACTCTTTATTACGGAAGAGTACAGCTCAGTTTATCTTGAGAATGATGGCAGAGAGAGCAGTGGAAGTCCAAAAAGATTTGTATCTGTGCTTTATTGATTACAGTAAGGCATTTGATAAAGTGAGACACCAAGAAATGTTCAAGATGCTGGAGGTTCTAGATATTGATGGAAAGGATTTGCAATTAATTAGGAACTTATACTGGAAACAGTTGGCAGCCATCAGGATTGAAGGAGAGACAGGCAAGTGGTCTTCGATTAAACGAGGAGTTAGACAGGGATGTGTTCTGTCACCAGATCTGTTCAATTTATACAGTGAAGTCATCTTGAGAGAGATTAAGAACATGCCTGGTGAGAAAATCGGGGGTGTGAATATAAACAACTTGAGATATGCAGATGACATTGTATTGATAGCAGAAAGTGAATTAGATCTTCAAAATATAATAAACAAAGTAGTTTTAGAGAGTCAAAAGAAAGGACTCCAGATTAACATAAAAAAAAAACAGAATTCATGGTGATATCAAATAAAAGTATACCACCAAAGTGCTCCATAGCAATCAATGGAGAAAGCATAAAGAATGTTCAAAAGTTTAAATATCTGGGCAGTTTGATAACATCAGATGGAATATGTGTAAATGAGATAAAGAAAAGAATCGCTTTGGCTAAGGATGCTTTTGGTAAAATGAGTGCAGTTTTTCAAGAATAGGCAGCTGCAAGTAAAAACAAAGCTTCGACTGCTAGAATGCTATGCGTGGTCTGTTCTAATTTATGGGTGTGATGCTTGGACTATCAATGAGAACATGAAGAAACGAATAGAAGCAGTGGAAATGTGGTTCCTAAGAAGAGTCTTAAGAATATCATGGACTGACAGAGTGAGCAATGAAGAGGTTTTAGAAAGAGCAGGAGTAAAGAGAAAGTTGATGAAGGTAATCAGGAAAAGACAAATGCATGGAAAACCTGGTGCTAACAGGAAAGATTGAAGGAAAGAGGAGTATGGGGAGACAAAGACAGAAGTTCATTACCAGCTTGAACAAGGATTTTCAATTTGGTGGAAGTGATTGTGAATTCTTATTGCTATCAAAGGAGAGAAAGAGCTGGAAGACCACGATCACCAACATCCTGGAAGGACAAGGCACTTAGAAGAAGACAACACAGTGATGGGAACACACGAGACGAGTCTCGGGGTAAGCGCTGAGTGCGGCGTCGGGGCGCCGACCCTCCAGCCCTGTGCAGCCGAAGGCTGGGTGGCGACCTTGACACGGCGAGCGCTGGGCACGAACTCGGGCCATCCTTGACCATAAATAGCGAGCGTCCACCGCAACGCGGCGTGGGAACGCCAGCTGCAAGAAGCGTGGGGGGGGGGGGGGGGGGGCGAGGTCACTTGTGACAGCTGATTAATGAGATGCCATATTGCTTGGCTCATTACTGACGCCTCGCCTCGAGTCGCCTTAGATTTGCCTCAAGGATGACCCAACCTGGCTGGTCCTGACGCTGTTCATCTCGTTCTCGCGTGCGCTGTCCCTGGTCTATCTTCATGGCTGCTTCTTCGCCCTGGTGCTTGGTAAATCCGTCCGTCCTCGAAGGTCTCACACAGTCCTCCTTGACTTTAGATTCGTCCAGACTTCCTTGTAGTCCTCATCCAGGCCTAACTCGGCGGCGTACTCGCCCCATTACACGTCCTCGCAGATCTCGTCCAGGTCCTTCTCTGCTGCCTGCTCGTCCAGACGTCCTCGTAATCTTCGTCTGTATCTACAGGCGTCCGGGCAGGAGGCGCCCTCATCAGCATTATGGTAGTGAAGTTTTACACACACTCCCCGTGGGCACTCGGTGGAAATTGATTTAGAAATTCGAAACCGAAGTCAGATATACTGAGGTATATAACTGAAAGATGGAATAATGCATTACCGCATTGATATAGATATATAACAATCCTCCATGATCAGGCCTCGAACCTGGGTCACTCCAGATATGTGTTTGTGTTTGTGTCAATACACACATATGTACACGCACACACGCGCGCGCGCGCGCGCGCACACACACACACACATATATATATATTTGTATATATCTACACATGTATACATGTATATTCCTATACGTATGCATGTATATTCCTATACGTATGCATGTATATTCCTATACGTATGCATGTATATTCCTATACGTATGCATGTATATTCCTATACGTATGCATGTATATTCCTATACGTATGCATGTATATTCCTATACGTATGCATGTATATTCCTATACGTATGCATGTATATTCCTATACGTATGCATGTATATTCCTATACGTATGCATGTATATTCCTATACGTATGCATGTATATTCCTATACGTATGCATGTATATTCCTATACGTATGCATGTATATTCCTATACGTATGCATGTATATTCCTATACGTATGCATGTATATTCCTATACGTATGCATGTATATTCCTATACGTATGCATGTATATTCCTATACGTATGCATGTATATTCCTATACGTATGCATGTATATTCCTATACGTATGCATGTATATTCCTATACGTATGCATGTATATTCCTATATATATACATGTATATTCATATATATATATTGTGAACAATACGTAGCAAGACCGGATGGCAGATTCACACCTCGGTCCAAGCAAATGCCTTTCTCCTTGCGCAGGATGCAGGTGCTGCCCTCCTTTCTCTTTTCACACAAGAATAAACATCCGCCCTCCAAGGAAACCGCCGCATAAAAGGGCACGTGCCTAAGACACACGGGGGACACCCAGAGACACGGCAGACAGGCCAAGCGACACAGGGTCCAGCTCCACCACCTCGTCCTCCGCCCGGGGACACGGGGGTCTCTTGGGGGTCTCAAATCTATCTTCAGAAATAAACCAGCAAGTTAAGACCCCTTTCATTGACCGCCCCAAGACTATCTCTGTTACGCTTACATCTAGTGGCTTGCGTGGTCACTTACGCTTACATCTGATGGCAGCGGTGATCAAGAACCTCACAACGCCTTACGCTTACATCTGATGGCAGCGGTGATCAAGAACCTCACAACGCCTTACGCTTACCTCCTCGCCGACGCCGATCCATGCTATCTGCCTACAAGCTACTCCTGTCGAAGTGCCTCCTCGCCTACTTTAACGCCCAGCCATCGCTACTAAGTCTTCTTCGTACCATGTCTACCCTACTACCTCGTGCTGACCACTCACGTCTGTGCTACCCTCCTGACGAAGTCGCTGACGATATGTTCCCGTACTCTACGCCACCACACTCGCCAATCCGGCTCATCTACCTCGCCAAGTCTTCACGAACCTTCGTCAGCACAACCATGGAGCCGCCATTCTACTCAGCACCACCAATACTTCCTAGCTACTATTAAAAGTAAGTGTGCCTATTAGTGCCAGATTAACTATTGCCCTCCCTATACCCACCCACACCTTACATACAAGTTGCCTTCTTTCAAGTTCAAGTACATGCCACTCAACGAACACAAACTACAAACTATATAATACATAACTTCTCGCTGTCAACCATTGTTTTTTCAACACAACAAGCGAAGTCACACACTGAAATCAAACCTAAGTGACACCCACCCACACCTCCCACCTCATTCCCCTTCCCTAACCATACTTTAATTGCTATGGTATTTTTCTGTTATTGTATTTTATCTAATGTTTATTATTGTTGTTTTCACATTGCAGTTCATTATATTTTATTTTCTCTTAGGACAAATAACTATGTATTGATATGTTCGATTTTCCCCGTTATGTTATTCATATTTACTGCTACGATTTTCGTTGTATATTATTGTTTTCACCTGCATACTGTACCCTATTAGTAAGTAATTCGTTACTACTTCCTCTATGAATGTGCGTATATCGTTCTGTCTTTCACAACACCTGTATTTTCATATACTTCCCACGCTAATCGTTCGCTTTTTCACACATAGGTTTAAGATACATGTCGATTACCTGCCTTAGGCCCAAACCCACCTACCTGCCCACCCTACACGGAATTCACTCTAGGATTATGTATTATTTTAAGTGCCATCCCTAAGACTTTTAACTGAACCCAAACCGCTTTCATGACGCCCTCTCGAAGTTCGATATCTTATCCTCATCTATGCTAGAATTTATGCTTCTTTAGTTTAAGGAATTGGTGAATATGTAACTTGTATCTGACTGATGGTTGGTAATCTATTGCAAATGATCATAACGATGATAATGCATTACAGGACACCATACTTCATATAGGCTTACATAATTATTATCACCGCAAGTTAATTTTAAGCCCGGCTCATGGCCGTAACGAAAGAATCCTGCGCCCGCCGCACCGAGATATTACTTACGCTCATACGATTGAAGCGCCCGAAACGCGCACGCCCGGCTCAAGGCCGTAAACGAATGAATCCTGCGCCCGCCGCACCGCGATGTTTTTTACTCCCATACGATTGAAGCGCCCCAGACGCGCACGCTCGGCTCATGGCCGTAAACGAAGGAATACTGCGCCCGCCGCACACTTACGCTCATGGGATTGAAGCGCCGAGACGCGCACTGTTAGAATTAAGTTCAGGCCCAGCTGCCTATATGTTCGAAGCATATATACTTGCCTATTTAGCACAAAGATATGGAATTCTTGTCCAATTACTTTTTCTCTCTTCGGTATGATGGTACTCTACAGAACTCGCTAATCCTAACAAATCCATGTAATTAACACCCACTTACTTGACACATTACCCTTCTCGTAACAAATTATTCTTATTATGCCCTCATTTTTTCTTGCAACTTAGTAAGGTGATTGACAAACACATTATTATCCTCCTCCTTAGCCCTTTTACTGGCCTGGTACACTTATATTTCAGCTTCTGAAGATGATTGACCCTCCTCGCTACTGAATGTTGCACCTCAGTGCGAAACCTCCGCCGCACCCGCTACCTTGGCACGCGACGACCCAAGCGACGATCGGATCACCAGGAACCATCTATAGATACCGAACAGAACCTGTATCCCTATCTGCTACTGCAGTGTTCCAGCGTTGCAGACGGCTCGAGGACGAGCCTTTCGCGTGGCCGAGCGATGTGAACAATACGTAGCAAGACCGGATGGCAGATTCACACCTCGGTCCAAGCAAATGCCTTTCTCCTTGCGCAGGATGCAGGTGCTGCCCTCCTTTCTCTTTTCACACAGGAATAAACATCCGCCCTCCAAGGAAACCGCCGCATAAAAGGGCACGTGCCTAAGACACACGGGGGACACCCAGAGACACGGCAGACAGGCCAAGCGACACAGGGTCCAGCTCCACCACCTCGTCCTCCGCCCGGGGACACGGGGGTCTCTTGGGGGTCTCAAATCTATCTTCAGAAATAAACCAGCAAGTTAAGACCCCTTTCATTGACCGCCCCAAGACTATCTCTGTTACGCTTACATCTAGTGGCTTGCGTGGTCACTTACGCTTACATCTGATGGCAGCGGTGATCAAGAACCTCACAACGCCTTACGCTTACATATATATATATATATATATATATATATATATATATATATATATATATATGTATGTATATGTACATGCATATACATATATATTCATATATATATACATATTTTTCTGAGTAATACAAAATCTACAAGTTTGCAAAGGAAGTATTGGTAGTAAGGAGCAAGGAGAAAGTTTCCAGAAGCAAAGCGACGTGTCCGTGTGCTATTTGCATAGCCAGATAAGTCCTTTGCCTCAGTTCTTGCTTAGCCCCATTCCCGCCATCGCTTACCCTCCAATACTTCTTACACTACACTCCAGCTGCCACCACATCCTCAGGGGCCTCTGCTCTTAGACAGAATGATCCTGAACCAAAGGCTCATGTCTGTCCTTAACCCAGGCAAAGAAATTCTGAGCCAGTCCAAAGGAAGCCTGTGGAAAATAGTTTTACAGGTAAACAACCCATCAAGAGGTACTCGCAAGATGCTGGAGAGACAGCCTAAAGGTGTAGGGTGGGCTTAACCACAGGTGCTGCCAAACACCTTATGAAGATGTAGTATGTCAAGAACTGGATACCCAAATCCAATGGAACTGTTAGGGAATTCAAGCAAAATAGGAAGAACTACAACATGTGATAGCTTCATGTTATGCCTACCAGAGATTATAGCCAGGGAAAATCGTCCAAGCCCATTATGGGACCTTTGATAATGGACTTCATGGAGGAGTAGCAGTGATGGTACGTCAGGATATTCCCTTTTAGCCATCCACCTGCAGATGACACTGCAGGTGAAGGCTGTGAGAATAGGCTTGACACAACCTTACGCTG